GAATTAAGGACTCATCAACTTGAAAACAAGTCAAAAGGAACCATCCTGTTTGAAGCACAGAGAGAAAAATTATTGTGGGGAGAAAAGCCAGGATGACACGTGGGCCCCTATCAAGCAGTCAACACACATGTACTTGGAATCCTAGGGAGGTGTGAGCCCGGTATGGCATGTAGGACACACGGAGAATATAAACCACAGCAGGCACATCCTATCAAATTGTTGAGAACTGAAAACAAAGTCATAAAAGCAGCCAGAGAAAGACAGCACATCATATACAAGAGACTAACAGCAGGAATGGAAACTAACCTCCGATCAGACACAAGGAAGAAAGCTGAAGGCAATGGAACAGTCTTTAAAGCGCTGAAAGAGAAAACTGTTAACCTAGAATTCTAATACCAGCAAAAATACCTTTCAGAAATGACGGTGAAATAAAGACATTTCAGACAACAAAAGCTGATTGAATGTGTCTCCAGTGAAGCTGAACTACAAGAAATTCGTATTAAAAGTTCTTTGGACTGAAGGAAAATGATTCCAAATGCAAGTCTAGATTTGCATGAAGGAAAGAGAACTCCTGGAAAAGGTTCAGATGTGGGTAAATGTAATACAATTTCTTCTCATTTTTTCTGTGTTTAAAGCAAGAATTAAAATGTATAATGAGGTTCAGAACATACAGAAGTAAAATGCATAAAAATATCACAAAGGAGAGAAGGAGGTGTAAATGGAATTATACTGAGTGAATCTACAGGTAGATTTTATGAAGTCACAGGTGTACACTCTAACTTCAGGGCCAACCCAAACTGGCCCCTGACCAATTTCTCCTAACCACTGTGCAAAATTCGTGTGGTCGAGCGAACATTTTTTGCCACTACTTGATTACTTCACTTAGTTGCAATATTGATAATTTATAACATCATCACCATTTTAATCAAACCATGAATGGACTGAGATATTCTGGAGATACAAAAAGTCAAAAGGCTCACCTCTTCTAAAGAAAGCTGCCAGGGTTGGGTCCTTCCACAAAATTTGCTGTGGCCTGTGCCTTGTGACCCTGTTATACTGACCAGAACTGATTCTACCAGGCATATATGCCATAGTGAAGCACAGCCATCTTGTGAGTAGACATAATGGAGGCCAGAATAACCCAGCAGAGTAATCTCTGCCCTATCAGGAAGCTCTCTTTTGGTTTATTCAGATCCTCTTTAAGGAGTAGTATGAGTAGCAGACAGAGAAATGTACAGAGAAGCTGGAAAACACATCAACAAGGTGCCCATACTGGGACTACAGAGCATCCGTTTCAAAGATGAAGACACAACGCAGCCATCTGAGCTGCTGTGTTCACTACGTGACAAAGAGCCATTTTTTCAGGTCTCCAAGAAGCTTTGCCTCTGAGATGGTTGTCTCTCATTTTATTCTCTATATTTTAAAATAAGCCTCCAACATTTAAGAAAACATGGATGTGCCTTAGTTTCTTATAACCCAAAGGAGCCTGTCCAAATTTATCTTAAGAAAAACAAACAAACAAACCACCGTCACCAACAAACCCAGACCTGCAATATGCGGCACATGAAAACAAATAATTCAGGCATAAAAGATACTACATTACCATACAAAAAGGGGCTGCCTATAGAGTCTGAGGTTTGGGCACTTACTTTAATACAAGGAATTTTTTAAATGTGCAATGAAAATTACTACATAGTTGTTCAGAAGATAAATGAAAATGTGAATAGTTAGGCACCCACCACACTGTCTTCTCAATCCCATTTAAAAAGCAAAGCATTCTTGGAACTGTAATTCAGGAATCAGGGGGAAGTTAGGAAGGCATTAACACTTCTGCTCATTTTCCTAGGCTTTTTCAAAGGTGAAAGCAAAAGTTAATTTTCATTTCATAAAGTTCATTTTTAAAGATTAACTTAAAGATATTTGATCTCTCTATATACTTGTGAATTTTTTTGTCATAACCAAAATAGGTTATTAGGAAGGGAGTATATATTGTACTTAATTCACCTTGACAAAAAGGAAAGCAGGCTCTCCTTGTCCATTGGGTCTCGTCAGTCTGAATATCTGTGTAAACACATAAGCTTCCAATTATTTGCCTAGGAAAATCACCTCAAAAATGACATTAAGCACGAATAAATCCCTCTGGTTTCCTTGGCATCCAACTACTTTTTAAAAGCTTACACTTTCCAGCTGTTATTGTCTTGAAATTTAGCATTTGTATCTTTGCATTTTCAAAGTATTATGCAATTCTAAGTATTTTTAACAAGTCAGTAAAATAGTTCTGTATTATCTTGAATTTACAGCTGGGAAAAGGATTTAAAAAAAAAAGGACTTTTTTAAGGATATATAATGAATCAGTGGCAAAACTAGGATGCAAATATTTGACTTTCTAGTTTCTAGTTCAGAAAATTGCAGGTATTCAAATAATTTAGGTAAGTGCATTTTTAACGCACTTCCCTATTGTACCACTGTTCTGGAAATCCCTGTAAATAAACAAAGTCTTTGCTCTAAAAGTTGGTTCATGATCTCTCCTTTGGCAGTAGAAAAGAGCTTGCAGATGGTACAACTGTGTCCATTTCAGGGAACAAGTACTTTAATCGGGTATTAAAGAGATTGGGGATATTTCCCCACATTAAATATATCCACTCACAGGAAACCTTTGAGGCATTACGGGGTTATAAACCCAAATGGGATTATAGGTGTGCTTACAATATAAATTCAAGAGTATCAGAAAAGAAAACACACACACGGGGCCATTTTCTTCTGAAGACGTAAATTACAACACCTTGTTTACAAAGTAAAAATGTTTCCCTGATCAGTATCTATATAAGCTCCATTTCCTTTATGGTTCCACTTCTCTTATTCATGGCTTGTTTTTAAATAAGACTCTAAGCCTGGCGTATAACATTAAAGCTACTAAAATTCCAAGCCTCTGCTTTGAACAGTACTTTCATATTTTAAGATTTCTGAAAGTGGATTTTTTTTAATGTTTATTTATTTTTGAGAGAGAGTGCAAGAGCCTGCAACAGGGTTGGGGGAGGGAGGGTCAGAGAGACAGAGAGAGAGAATCTCAAGCAGGCTCCATGCTGTCAGTGCAGAACCCAATGTGGAGCTTGATGCCTGAGCAGAAATCAGGAGTTAGAAGCTTAACCGACAGCATCCACGAACCCCTGGAATGGCTTTAAAATACATCTTGTGACTATAAACACTGCCACACAACTCCTCTTCCTCACAAAACATTAGTAAATATTTAATATTAAAATCATGTATTTATGACTTGAAGCAGTATTATAGTCGACAGTACAAAGATTTAATTTAGTAGGTAGCAAGTATTATGACACCACATTTTAATTCTGAAACCCCACTGTAAAACACAAATATTTTCTATTTGAATTCTATTTAATAAGCTTCAATTTCATATTTAAAGCAAATCTATCAATTGATTCACATGCTATCATCATAATATATTCATGAAAAACTTGCTATCCGCTAAAGCACTATATACTATGTCAGATGTGACCATATAACAACTGACAACTGTTCAAAACAATTTTGTTACTTTTAATGGTTTTTCTACATTTTCTGCTGTTAAGATTCAGGCTATATTTAATTGGGAAAAATTACAAAGATTGATAATGAGTGTAATGGAGATATGGCAAGTCCTTCGTACATACTGTTTGGAGGAAAGTAAATTGGTGGTCTTTTTGGAGTTCAATTTGGCAACAATTAACAAAACTTTACATATATTCACATAGCACAACATGCAAATTCATGTGTAGTTTATCCAACAGAAATCCCAACCTAAGTGAGCCAAGATAAACACATGAAGATCAACCCAGCACTGTTTGAAATAGTGAAAAATGAAACGAATCTGTGCACAAAAGAGGCACCCTAGCAGGCTTGAGAATGCAATCCTTAGAAAGGTTGGCTTGCAATGCTGGCCCCTGGCTGACATCTGGGAACTTGGCTGGTGAACAGTTCTCTATGTGGAAATAAAGCTTTCCGTAAAGATCCAAACCTGGCATATGAAGCCATTATGGGATGGACAGACTTGATAACCCAGACCCACCCTGCACTGAGCCTCAACTGGTTTTAAACTTTCCTTATTGCTTAAGCCACTGTGAAATAGGGTATTACTGCTTAGAGTCCAAAGTATTCCTCTGGATTTCCAGTTCTGTTGTCTTATATAAAGTGACACTGAAATTATAGGCAAGAGTCCTTTATTTGTACTCAGATGCATCACTTACAAACTAGGTGAATGTGGGCAAAGTACTTACCATCTTAAGACAGAGTTTCTTCATTGTAGAAGTGAAATGATAACCTTGTGTTTTTTAAGTACTATTATGAAAAAAGAGGGAAACTTTAACTCTACAATGTGCATAAATGTTAATGATCAGACAAGCTCTAGCAAGTAACCTGGTATACAAGAGGCCAATAATGGATCCATACCTCCAAGTGCCCCAACACTAAAACATTTAAATCCCAGAAGGTCTGACCAATGTCCACACTATGAAAACCTCCCCATCTAGTACCAGGAACATCTGAAATCAGGGGAAACAATATTTTTAAAAGCTAATGTGATACCATAGATTCTTATAAAAGTTTATTTGGGCTAGCATTAGTATTTTGATTTTAAAAGATGACAGATATCACACATTTTCACTCACAGGACATTTGCAAAATTCCTGAATATACAATGCTAGAAAAATAACATGGAGTATAATCAACTGTAAGACAGGTGGAGCCAACTACATGGTGTGGAGATGGTCTGCTAATGGCAGCAATTCAAACAACATGACTTAAGTGATCTCCATTTAAAGGTCTTAAATGTGGGACGCCTGGGTAGTTCAGTCAGCTAAGTGTCCGACTTTGGCTAAGGTCATGATCTCACGGTTTGTGGGTTCAAGCCCCACATTGGGCTCTGTGCTGACAGCTCAGAGCCTGGAGCCTGCTTTGGATTCTGTGTCTCCCTCTCTCTGTCCCTCCCCCCCTTGCACTCTGTCGGTCTCTCTTTCAAAAATAAAGAAAACATTAAAAAAATTTTATAAGGTCTTAAATGAGATATTAAACAGAGGCACATCCACAAAGCTATAGAAATTTTTTTTCTGTACAAGCAACATATTCTAGAATTCACATTACCACTCTTAAAGGTTTTATTAGAAAAATAATTAGTATTTACATGTTGTATTTAAACAATGTACTGAACTAATAATATATGTACATATATGGACACATGCATACATGTATCTATACATACACAAAAATACATACATACATTCATAATTAGGCCAAAGGGAGCTTTAAAACAAGCACCATAGAATATTTAATTGAATGCAGAAGTAGAAACTGGGCTTCCTAAATTATCAATCATTTAAGTTACAGACCACAGAAGTTTCATATGTTTAAAAATAAAGCAAATAAGGGAAAAACTGTATTGCACTTAACCATACAATATACAGAATAGTTAATACACACCATAAACAAATCCATTACCAGACTATAAATATAATTAGCCACTTGCATGTAATAAACATTACTATTTCAAGAACAAGTATTTTAAATAGTTAATATTATCAGAACTGTAGTAAGTAAAACATCACAAAGTTATAGGAAACAGTAATAATCTGCAAATAGCAGGAATATTTCTTTTACATTCTAAATCCAAACTATTTCCATTTATGCGGATTTCATAAACAGAAATGTTAAAATTAAATTTTGAAGTAAATTCTTATTTCTAATTTAATGTTCCTTTATTCTAGAACTATGTTAAGATACTGCTATTTCAAAGAAATAACCTACAGTTTCCCAGAAGAATTATTTTTAATACTGGCAGTCTTCCTGTTCAATATTCAAAATATAAATCTTTTCTTCTGTCAGAAAGGTCAAGTTAAGAACTCTACACCAGGTTCTTTGTTCTCGATTTTCTTTTCCTCTTGGGTGCAGTAAACTCTAAAGACATAAAATTAAGAAGTCTGTCAGGTCTAAAAAATAATACTTTAACTGATAACATACATTGAAACTATATAGCTCTTTAATTGGGATGCCTTCAAACAAAGCTCCAAAAAGAAATGCTAAAGCTAACACACATGATTCTTTTTTTCAAAAGGATATATACTGCAGTTGAAAATCTGCCAATGTAAATCCTAGTCTTCTTAAACCCTATTTAATAATTAGCTACTTTGAAGCCGTTTCACAGGGGTCGGCTCTTCCCATACCGAGCACAGACCCAGTAAACCAGATCTGAAAGGTATGCAGACCAGTGGAAAGAGAGATAAAGTGACTAAGATGTGATTTTCATTTCAATTAAACCTGAAAATGTAACCCAAACCACAAGTGTACCACACATCTTTTTGGATACAAAAGCAGGTGCTGCAACCAACACTCAAGTGAGTGTTATAGAGAAACAACTGTGAACCTAAAAATTACAGATCATTAAAAACAAAGAAAATAACAGAGGATACAAAAACATGAAAATTATGAAAGATGTGAAGAAGTGAAATATTCCTCACCAGTGAAAAACAAAAAAAGAGCGAAAGGAAAAGGAATGAGAAAAGACAAGGAAGAAACTAAGAGGAAAAAAGATCCCAGGAACCTTTTAGATTCCTAGAAGAGAGCAACGGGCAGGATGGAGAGCAGCAGGCCGAGAGAGTACATGGTCCATAGTAAAGCAGGTCAGAGGTCTGCAAGACTCCTTTAAAAAGACAAAACTGACAAAATGCTTTTTGTATGAATATCCCAAGAGAAGATTCATACAAATGAGGAAGAATTTTGAGAACAAATCAGTGTTAGGTCAACAGAGGAAAAAATAAGGCAAAAAAAGTTATTAACTCTCTAGGAAAAATAATAAATGTACAGATTAAGGAAGAATCATAGTATATTACATGGCTCTGTTGCCAATAATGTTTAGTAAGTGCTGAATACAGATAGAAATAAAATAATAATTAAATTGGGAGGCTGGGGACTGGGAAGTATACATATGTTTGAGGTGGGAGGTGAAAAATATATTAAAGAGAACTAAATCCTTGCTTTCTCAGTGGAAGGTCGAGATAATCCACAAAATGAAGTGACAAAATACATCTATTTAAAGACATGGAGGTAGTAAACACCAAAACAATAAAGTCAAAAGTGATTAAGAAAGGAAGAAATGGGAGTCAGAGTCAGAAGACCGTGGCTTCTTATAACGAATATTAAAAAAAAAATCATTTTACTTGTTAAATTGTGTGCATATGTCATGATTTAACCAAATTTTTAAAAATCACAAACTGATTTTATTTTTTTAAGGTTTATTTATTTATTTTGAGAGGGGGAGGGGCAGAGAGAGGGAAAGAATCTCTGCATTAACAGCTCAGTCCCACTGAACGGTGAAATCATGACCTAAGCTGAAATCAAGAGTTGGATGCTAAAATGACTGAGCCACCCAGACGCCCGCAAACTGACAAAATGGGACTTGCCAGATAGCTGTAAAAGTGTGCATTTGTGTTTAATTGTTGACTCACAAACAAAGCTGCGAACCAAGACTAGAAAGAGCCTAGTTTGAAACTCATCACAAGATTGTAAAGAACTACTTTACGCTGCCATAAGCAAATCACAGGAGCATTCACATTTCTGAAGGAACAAATATTCCCTTTTAAATGTCTATTCTGTCTTCTGTATATTTGTATAACACTCTGTTTCTCTCCACCGTAATGAACTGGCTTGTTTTTCTCCCTAACTAAACTATAAGGTTCTTGAAGGCACAGACTGATCTGATTCATTCAACAAACCTTTACTTAAGTCTACTATGAGCCAGTCACTGCTCAGATCTACATAACTGTGATCAAAATAAAAGGGTTCTTAAATTCCAGTAGTATATATCTTCGTAGCCCTGTATATAGCTAAGTGTTTGAAACATGATGACAGGCACTCAATAAATGCTTGCTGAATGAATACAAAACTAAAATGAATAAAGTCCTAGGACATTATTCTTAATCTACATTATATTCATTATCATTGGATGGATTATCAATTATCAAGCCTAGCCTGCTAAATATAACTTATTCTCTGTAATACTATCATTATTACTGGAGATAATATTATTTAAACTGTTATTTAATAAACACTACAAATTATGAAAACTAGAACACTAAAAGGCATAGCCATTTAATTCATATCATGCAACTTACTACTATTTAAATACTTACAATCATCACTTCATAGGTGAAAATTTTACATTAGAATATGAAATAACTATTTTATGAAATAACTATTTTTTAACAATAAAATCTTTTTAAAGTTTTATCCAAAAAGTTTGTAACTCCCTTTGTTAGTAGAACTCAAGCAGACATCCTCATGCTGAGGCATGTTCACTTACTAATAATGGAATGTTACCTATCCTTCACTTCTCACCTCAATCAACCACTACCACTCCTTTCCATTTATTTATTGTATTAACATTTACTTTCAAGTGTCATGATTTATGGTATGATTAGTACTAAAATTCCCCAAAGTGTCTAAGAAGAAAGTATCACAGGAACATATAGCCAACCATCAAGCTCTTGAAGGACTCTAACCCTTGACGCTCTGAGCAAACCTCCCATCAGGAGCTTAACAAAATGTTATCTGTACCTGTTTCACTAAAACTTGCATTGTCCTCCTCCTCTTCGGTAATTACAGGCATACTCAGCCTTAAAGATTTATCTTCTTTATGTACGTTCTGGGTGTCATCTGGAAATAGTTGAGAAAATGATTTTATACAAAAGCAAAGAATGTTTATCTTTGAGAAAAATTTTTACACAAATAATGTCATTATTATAACAAAAATTAGATATTTAAACTAAAAGCTAAAATTGTAATGGTAAAGAGAAATATGCATTTTAAAACATATATCTGTTTTTAAGTATTAATACATTTGTACCTATGCTTTGAAAATAATCTAAGGCTGCCATTAAAGTAAAGAAAATGGAGGAAAAGGGAAAAAACGAAATTAACCAAACAGGAGTATCTTAGTCAAGCTTTATTTAGTCACATACATCACGGGTTATATCTGCAGTCATCAGGGAATAATCATGTGTTTACTTCAACTTTATTAACACAAATTAATCACAAATGTAATTTTAAAGTTAATAGCCTTGTTTTAAAATGTATACTTTCTTTCCTCACTATGTATACTTTACAAAACAGACTTCTCTAGTCATAGTTTGCCATTGACTTTCCAATTTTCCAAGAGATTTTTCTACATCAACCTTCTGGTGCCTGAAGAAGTATCATAATCAGTTTTATCAAACACCACTCTTGCCAGGTCTCATTTAGCACATAATTTTCAGGTCCCAACAGCAACACCCACATCCAGTCATTCTCTATTCCTTATGCTGCCTAACTCTTTTCCACAATACTTTTACCACCTGATCTATTATTATATGTGAATTTTTTTCTCTATGATCTGCCTCCTCCCAGTAGAATGTAAGTTTCACAAGGATACCTGGTTTTGATTTAAGTTAATGTACCTCCAGCACTTAGAAAAGTGCCTGGCATATAGTAGGATCTCAATAAATATTTATTAAATGATTAAATACGGATTTGACTTTTTTTATACCGCAGTATTTTGGTTAGCACATGTTAATCTGTACCTATCAGCACATAAGGCAAGAAATTGAATGAAAATATGTTTAAGCTTTCTGCTCTGAACGTATGTATGCTGGCACCTTAATGGGGTCTAGATTTTATACAATGAACAGACTAAGGTAGAATTGAGTAAGCGGTAGCAATAAGCTTCCATTTAAACACAAGCTTAATAAAATAATACCAGTTTCCCCTTCAGTCATTAAAATAGAATTTTACTTTTATTTGCAAATCATAAATATTAATTACAGTAAATTACTACATGATTTTTAAGATGATAGTTTTAGGAAATCTTTTTGTATATTTAATCACGTGTTTTTCTTAAACTTGAACCTATAAATTTTTTCAGTTCACAGAATTATAATCAGTACAACTGACTCAAAGTTACTGATACTGTTCTTCACAATCTTTTAGCGATATCCATCCATAGCCACTATTAATGATTTTTCCCTAAATCCACATTTACAATCTAACAATCTATCCAACAACATCAAAAGACTGGGTTAAACACGGACAGCTGAGAAACAATTTTCATCTAGTCACATGATGATTAACTACATTTTAGAGATGGATTTCTACATCAAGTTTAAAAACTAAAAAGCAACATTATCTAAAAGCCCTTAAACACAAATACAGTGCTTCACCTCACCTATCATGCAGACAGGAACCAAGTAAGCACCCAAACTTCAGATGTTTATCTCAAAGTCCATACAGTAAATAAAGCTTATGAACTTCAGTCACCAGTAGATGGTTCTACTGTGCTCAAAGCTAACAGTGTGGGACACAATTATAACTAAAGATTATTGCTCAATCTCAAAACAAATGGTTACTGGCTGACATGCAGCTAGAATACAATGTACCTAGCTGCGTGCCTAATGTGAGCTCCAGATCCATATTTCCAGTTACCTGAGCAACAGGAAGTATAGCAATTAAAGATTCAGACTTGGATTCAGACAGAATGCTATTCAAATCTCAGCTCTATTTATAGCTAGGTGACCTTGTGAAAAAACTGTGGCAGACCATAAGTGTAACATAAATAATAGCTGCTATCTTCTTCATGATCATATCATTACTATTACTGACATTCTTCCAGAAATGAGCAAGTTATAGTCTAGGCATCGGGAACAGACATAGCTAAAGCTTAAATAATACAAATTTAGGTAAATCCAACCAATATACTGAGCACTAATTTATGTACCATGCCAGACAGCCATTATAGGAATTGAACCTAAAAAGGCAGATTGGGTCAAATTCTACCACAAATGAAAATCTTTATTCTATGATCATCATTCCTGTTAAAGGCACCAATATTCCTCCAGTTGCTTAAGCATTAAGCATCCTTGTCTCACCCCTCTCCATCAGCCTCTGTATTTGGTTATATACATCCAAATTACATCTATATTTGGTTATATACATTGGTTCTCCTATTTGCTTGTCTAATTCCTACAACCACCTGGCCAGATAGATGCTCATTACTCCTAAACAGCCTTTTACTTAGTGTCCCTATTTTCAGTTTGTCCCCACCTACCCAGATTGATTTTCTTCAAAGAAAACTGGTCATACCACTTTCTTGCTCAGAAGTCTCAGATGACTCGCCATTGCCTACCAAAGTCTAATGGTTCCACATTTCAGGGCTGGTGATACTATAATCCTCAACATATTTTTCTACATTAACTCCTCAACACATCCTTTACACTCCAGACAAAATGGAGTCACTCTATACTTCCAACTACCCTGACTTTTTACATGCTAATCCCTCTACTTGTCTTAAACCTATGAAATTATTGTTACATTTATTTTATTAAAAATAAAACAAGGCTTTGGATTTTTTCCAATTACTAAAGTAACATATAGTTATCACATAAAATTCAAGTGTTACAGAAATTTATGGACTTGGAAATTTCCCATGATCCCATCCCTGAGAATTAACCACTGTTAACAAGCTTCTAGATTTCTTCAATGATATATGCTGTGTTGATGTCTACAAATATTTTTATGAACAGAAATGCAACCAGGGGCGCCTGGGTGGCTTAGTCAGTTAAGCATCCGACTTTCGCTTAGGTCATGATCTCACGGTTTGTGGGTTCGAGCCCCGCGTCGGACTCTGTGCTGAGTGCCAGCTCAGAGCCTGGAGCCTGTTTCAGAGTCTGTGTCTCCCTCTCTCTCTGACCCACCTTGTTCACACTGTCTATCTCTCTCTCTCCTAGAAATAAATAAAAATTTAAAAAAAAAATTAAAAAAAAAAAAAGAAATGCAACCATACTCCTCTTTAAAAAGACATTTTTGGGGCACATGGGTGGCTTAGTCAGTTAAGTGCCCAACTCCTGATTTTGGCTCAGGTCATGATCTCACAGTTGGCAGGATCAAGCCCTACATTGGGCTCCACGTTGACAGTGTGGAGCCTGCTTGGGATACTCTCTCTCTCCCTCTCTATCCCTCCCATGCTTTCTCTCTCTCTCTCTCAAATAAATAAACTTAAAGAAAAAAGTCTTTAAAAGTAAAAAAAAAAAAAAGACATTTTACTAAGCAATGTCTTGATATATTTTGAACATATTTTCATGCAGTATACATAGAACTTTCTCTAGCTTTTTAAGAAATGCAAAATATTCTTTCATATGGACTGACAATTTTATATACCCAACTTTTAAATGTTACACACTTGAGTTGTTTAGTACTTGCCATTTCAAATAATCCTGCAGTGAGTGTCCTATTTTTGTCACTTGTAAAGGATAAATTCCGAGAAATTAAATTGCTATATTGAAAGACATGTACTTTTAAAATTTTGATAGATGATTCCAAATTGCTGTCTGAAAAGGATGTGCCAATTTATACCCCCACTTAAATTCAGATTTTACCTCTTCAAACGTTCACTATCAATTGGTATTCACTTATTCTTAACCTTTGCCTATCTAATATATAAAAATCATATTTTAATTTATATTCCTTTAATTATTGAGATTAAGTATCTCTTCATATGCATGTTGACTGTCTGCACTTTGTGAACTGCCTGCTCATCTCCTAAGCCAATTTTTCTACTGAGTGGTGGCCCTTTTGTTACCAATTTGCAAGAGCTCCCCTAAAATTTAAAATGTTAACATTATTATATGTGCTGCAAATAGTTTTACAAGCTCTTTTGCGTTTTATGGAATATAAGGTGTCTCTCTGAGAAGAGCATGAATCAAAAATACTCTTCCACTTTAAGGAACTGAATTTTTGATTAAAAAGAAACTATGAAGTAAAGCACATTGCTTTTCATTAAGATACAGAATAACAAAACACCTCTGCTTCAGAGTATTTATAATACCTTCTGAGCCACTTTCTTTCACATGGGTTAAATCCTCCCTAATACTCCTAAGTAAATTCAATAACAAATCTTGGATGTGATATAGAACCAGTTCTTAAAAGGTAATTTCAGAGGTGATGAAAATGTTTTAAGTAACTACATTAAGTGATAAAATATAGTGAAGGAAGTGGTATTTCGTAAATTACATCTGCCAAATATTTAAGATGAAAAGAAACTTTCATTGAGGTGCCTAGGTGGCTCAATCAGTTGAGCGTCTGACTAGGCTCAGGTCATGATCTCACAGTTCGTAAGTGGAGCCCCACATCAAGCTCTCTGCTGTCAACACAGATCTCACTTTATATCTCTCTATCCCCTCCTTTCTCTGAATCTTCCCCACTCACCCTCTCTCTCTCTTAAAAATAAATAAACATTAAAAAAAAAACTTTAATTTCTTTCCCATCTTGCACTTGCTTCTCCTTTTTTCCTCAACCACATTAAACACACACACACACAGACACACACACATTACCTGTTTCACTACGTGTTTTTTTAGGGGATTAAGAAGGCAGCTTGGCCAGCTGACCTCTCTCCGCACTTGTGTAAAGGTTGATTCCTAATAGAAAATGCTCCTGCAGCTTTCAAAACCTAAGTTCTCTTTGATACCTTAGAAAAAACATTTTAATCTTCCAGAATTTTAAAAAAAATTTTTTTAAATGTTTTATTTATTTCTTAGAGAGAGAGACAGCATGAGCAGGGGAGGGTCAGAAAGAGAGGGAGACACAGAATCCAAAACATGCTCCAGGCTCTGAGCTGTCAGCACAGT